CCTCTATAGGCTAGAACGCGATAACCTATACAGTACGCGAAAATATATCACGATAACATTCATCCTCACCCCAATATGACCTCTTGGCTTTTCAACTCTCCCGCTGTGTCCCCTAAAGTGTTCCGACCTGGTTGGAAGGAAAAGAGAGAGTAAACCACGTCCGAAGTCATTATTTTAAATTGTAATTTACCATGTAATGAGATCTCCCAACCTTTCGTATGACAAGGAGATTTTCAGACTGCTAAGACCTTCCTCGCATGGTAAACTAGTTGTGCCGAGAACTATACGTGTTGCCTCCATCCGAAACCTTTCTATAGCCACCGTACCTTTAGTGTGTCTAAGGTTATATCCAGTGTCTTATGAAAACCGAGTACAATTAGTAGGGGTACACTATGTGGTTAAGAGGCTTATAGAAGAGTACCAGATTTAGTCGCAGTCGTCTTAACCATAATGTTTCTTGTCCTAGAATTTCACATATGGTAGAGTAGTTTGTGCCGTTTTCGGTTCCGAGTACTTTTAGCGTGAAGTATCTCTGTACTCCTTCTACTTTTAGTTTGTCTTCTATGCATATACTACTAAATATGAATGCACAATAGTCTAGGAGTGGGCGCACACAAACCTTGTACAGTAGTATTCTGGATTCACTTCTGTTGAAGTTCCTGAGTAGGAAACCAATAAGCCTGCATGATTTCGATACTTGTTTCGAGATATGTTCAGAAAATGATAGATTGTGTGAATATTTCAGTCCTAGGTCTAGCACAGATTTGAGTCTGGGGATTTTGTGGCCCTGAATTGCTAGGTCGAGCTCTAGGTTGGGACAACCTATGCAGAGCCAGCCACGCTTTTCGAAATTAAACTCAAGTCTCCAGGTGTCACACCATATATCCATTTTTGTTAATTCTTCATGTATGGAGTTCACAGTTATACCGATATCTGTATTTGTGCAGGTATATGTCACCTTTAAGTCATCTGCATACAGTATTGGCTTGCCTATACTAAAGCACTCACATACAATGTTTATGTATATAATGAAAAGAAGGGGACCCAATACACTCCCCCGGGATGACACCACTGCTAATCGACCTAGGCCTGGAGGTCATCGAGCCAATTTTTGTTGTCTGATTTCCGTCACTGAGAAATGATTTTATCCCTTACCTTCTGCCTCCTATCCATCAGGTAGTCACTAAACCACTCACATAAGCTTTGGTCTAATCCATAATGTTTAAGTTTACTAAGAAGACCTAAATGGGATACCTTACCGAATGCTTTACTAGGATCGATAAATACAAGTCCAGTAGATGGTTTTTATCCCTGGCCTCGACCCAATCTTCCCTAGCTAACAGTAAGTTTGTCAAGCAGGATCGTCCTGGTCGGAATCCATGCTGTTCCACTGCCAGCAAGCCATGTTTTTCCGTATGAGCTAGGAGCTGATCCCTTATAAGTTTTTCCAACACCTTTATGATAATGCAGGTCAGACTTACAGGCCGGTAGTTAGATACTAACTGCCTGCTCCCATCTTTGAAGATTGGGCTTATAAAAGCACCTTTACAGTCCCTGGGTAGCCTAGCCTGGGTCAGAGACATCTGGAAAATCTCCGTAAGTGGAATGTATATTACATCCGCCAAGGAGATTACAATCTAGGGTGAAGTCCCTCTGGTCCAGGTGATTTACCTGGCTTCAACTTAGATAGTAGTTTCAGAACCACTGCATCACCTACCACAATTGAGGGCATTTTAGGGGCTACATCAGTGGCCTCGCCACATCCCTGAGTGGTACGACTAGGCGAGAAAACATCACAAAAGTATTCGAAGAGCTTCTCAGCTTTTGTTTCGTCTGACTCGGCAGCCTCTCCTGTGTTACTAATGAGGGACGGTATACCACTGGTATTTTTAGTCCTGCATTTGATATACGAGTACAGTCTTTTTGGATAATGCACATAATCCAGTACTAACTGTCTCTCATACTCTATACGACTTTTGTCAATCTCATACTTACAAAGGTTTCGAACTTTGCGGTATTCTATCCGAAACTCATCCCTCCCAGTCACAGCAAACCGGTCCCATAAGTTCTTTCGTTTTCTTAGTAACCTCCTTATTTCATTGCTAATCCAAGGTGGTTTATGAGATAGTTTTCGAGGCATAGACCAAGGTACAAAGGGTGCAGTGACGCGCTCTAGTGTGTTCCTAAATCCCATCCAAGCCTCCTCGGCAGTCTGGTGTGTATTAACAGACCAGTCAGCTAGGGTTGCTACATTTCGGATTGCAGGTATATTCGCTTTCAAACGTTTGGGCGAGCATCTGTTAACCTATGTATGACAACCTGGTGCGGAAAACTCGAGTCTATGCCCCAGTTCACTGAGGAGTGTATCCCGTGTTCATCTGATGCAGCCAGAGCTGATCCTGTGGAGAGTGACGACTCCTATGTAAAGACTTGGAGAAGTAGTCTGCTACTGCTTCTGCTTTTTCTTGGTCTTCTTCGATTGTGCCATTGTCAATAGTCAGGTTTGGGACACCATCGGATATCATATTCCTGAAGTTCATATACGAGAAAAGTTTCTAAGGTTGTGACAGTGCATTTTCAGCCAGGTGTGCTTCGAACTTTATCCATGATTGGCGGAATTCTGCAATAGCTTTATTCCTAGTGGTATCGCACAATCTTTTGGTCTCAGGAGTCTCAAGTGTGGTAGGAAGGTTACAGCACTTGTCTTTACGTCTGTGTAATTCACGGATCTCTCAGTTTATCCAGGGAGAGAGCAATATTTCCTACCCTTTGGGACAGACTAAGGGATGAAAGGTTCAGTTACTTGGGCATAAAGTTGTTTAAACTGCTTCTATGAGGCTTCTACTTGAGACTGTGGATTTGTAAACCAGCATAGCGAGTTGGCTGCTGAGACAGTCGCGTTTGTGTCAGCTTTCCAAACGTTTGGTCGAGTTGGGATTTTGGCCCATGATACTGCCACTGTGAAACTGAAAGCGAGCACAACGGATCACTTCTTCCTAAAGGAGGAAAATGTTGTATGAGATTCACATCCTCATCATGGGAGAACACTAGACCCAGGGTTCAAGAGGAGTCATAGCACGTAGGCTTCATGACATGTTGGACTAGGGCTAGGGAAATGCTAGATTCTAGCAGTTTATGATCAAAGGAGTTGCCTGAAGCTGAGGTTGTAAGGCTTGTCCAGTCAACTGTTGGGGTGGTGAGGTCACCGATTACAAGACTTCGACATATCCAGGAGCCTAGCTTCCCTATTAAGAAGTCGTCTGCACTGCAGTCAGGACTGTTCTATATAGCAATGAGGCCAATATCCTGTCCTATACACTTATACCTGCAGCGTAGAAGTTCGCACGATTCACTTTCGTCAGCGAGCGCACTTCTTGAGGTAGATGACCACGTTACCTCCCTTGCGGCTTAGTCTGTTCACCCTATACACTTCGAAGTTTGGCAGGTTAACTTCGTTAACAGTGACATTAGGTGTGAGCCATGTCTCTGTGATGATAATTACGTCCGGATTCCCGGAGTCTATCATATTACCCAGCTCAGTCCGTTTGTTTGACGGGCTGCGTACATTTGTGTGGCAAACTGTTAACTCGGTATGGTGCTTCCGCGGCCGACTCACAGAGGTTTCGCGATCATCAAAATTCGAACTTTGACAACCCAAAAACCCTTAACCTTAAGGTTTGTCTCGCCGTTTCGGTGCCGTTCGCTAATTCTAGAGCCGCAGGCTGTCTTTAGACGCGGTCGGAAAGGCATTATTCGGCACGGACGTATACGCCTGATCCTTTGGGCGTTGCTTAGAACAGCATCCCTCTCTTCTTTAGAGTCTAGTGCGACTTTGAGAAGGCGTAATGGCTGATTTACTGTAGAGTCAGGCTTTTGGCAGATTCTATACAGGCTGTGTATGATACTGTTGTTCGCAGTAGCTAACTTAGGAGGGGCTGGACCAAGTTGTGGTCATGCTCGAACCTGACTTTGGGATAGGAAACCGGAGATTCTTCCATTGTGTGGAGTATGGGCGAACTATCGGAGGGACCAGATTTGCTTGCAGTGGCTTTCTTACTCTGCGAAGTAAGTGTCTCCGTCCTTTGTGCACAGTGTGGCCTTAATGATGTCCTTATCTAGCTTTATACGCGAAACTACATCACACCACTGACTGGCACCCTTCTCCGTATCTGTGGTGGAATGTGTCTGCCTGCTATCCACCGGTATGGATGAGTCTTGATCTACAAGTCCTTGAGGGACTTCAGCTGCGGGTTTTCGACCCCTGGTACGCCTTTTCCCCGTGCCAGTCTTTCCGTCACTGTCACTGAAGTGTGTCGTAGGGAGGGCACGGGTGTCCGGAATTTGGTGCGTGCTCTTCTGTGCTGAAGGGCACTCACTCTGTGACAGAGACACATGAGGAACGCGTGTTGTCTTGTCCATGACGCTAGCCACGTCATCGGTGTCTGAGCGGTAGTAACTCTTCTTTTATGGTGGAGGACCTTTGCAGTCTGGGAACTTTAGAGCCTTACTGGGAGTGGAGATGGCTTTCTTAGTACGAAATGTAGTCGTACTGCAGTAGTCGTTGCACAGCCACTTCACCAGAGGTTGTCAGCAGCGCTTGTATGCTGCAGGAGTTAGGTTTGTGCAAATGCTGTGAAACCATCTCTAGCAGCTATCGCACTGCATTACTTCTCCAACTGGGAAATGACACATAACTCTTCCGCAGCGGTTCCTTTTGATAGGCATTCTTTTCTGAGTGAATTGGAGCTGGAAGAGTCAATTATGACCTTTATATATATCAATGATGAGAAAATCAATGAGTGTAAAAAAAGGATATATAATAACTATACAGTTATAAGAACACACTTCCTGTGGGTAAATGGATTCGAAACTAAACAGCAAACTAACTTCAATCAGAATAAACTGATTTTAAAATAATCTGTAGACTTTTGGAGCGTATAACAAAACAAAAGCCGAAATTAAACAAGAGCGTGTGGAATTCACTCCCTTTTCAAAGTTCGCGCATCGATAGAGTTTTACTTGACCCTCCTAATGAAATCACTTTTGAAAAAGGGATTGAGTCGGACGATATTTGGTCCATCTAATACTGGGTTTCAGAAAACTGAGGTAATTTTCTTTGTGGATTTTATATATTTGGAAACTAATTTCAGTCTAAGAAAAAGTCCAGTAAGAAAAATCAAAGTAAAGGTCAGCTGAAGCGTCTTCGTAATGAACTTTACCGCAAACGTGTCGCCAAGAAAGTTAGCTGGAAGACGTTTTCAAACAAAATAGGTATTTTTCAATCTTCTGAATCCATAATTATTGATTTTGTATTCTTGATACCTTATTTCCTGTTCTTGCTGATTCTTTGTATGAGTAACTGAATCTTCCCCGAGGTACATTGTAAATTGCATTGTATACGTTTACCGTAGTATAGTAGTTTGCACTCCTGAACTCAGGATGTTGCAAAACCCTTGGGCCTATGAAACTTCCGTGTAGAGTTTCGGTTAGTCAGTTAAGTTACATAACATGAGTTGCTACGTGAAGTAGCTAGTTCAAAGTAGGGTATTCTAGACCACATTTTCTTTGGGACTACTGCGAATAGCCAGTCAGTTGTTTTTCCCATGATCAGTAACAAAAGATGTAAAGAAGTATAGCTCCTTAGGTGTGATTTTTATTCAATAAGAAGCCTACTTCGGTCTTCTCTGCATCCATTTGGGCAGCATTATCAGTATTTAAGCTAGTTGTGATTTCAGCTTGGAAAGTAATGTCCGGATAAGACCAATACAACTGACAACACTGTCTCGTGGTTTTTTCCTCAATGGAATACATTTGGAAGCCTAATCGTCAGAAATGATGAAGCGAAAGCGTATCAGCGGCGTTGTGCGAAGTAGTTGGTTGAGTTTGAGCCACGTGGTCAAGTGCAGGTTGCCTAGTGTAGAGCACTGGAAGTCTGTTGACGGTTTAAAATTTTGCATGGTAGTGCATATGTAGTCACGTGTTGTTTTCTCCTGGATCCTAGAAATTTCGCGTATGTTGATGTGCTTTAGTGTCATTGCGTATTTGTCTCTATTAATTATTCTTCTTCAGGCGTAGTGACTTAAATGGATGCACTTCTGCAAAACGTTTTTACGTGTTATATATTTACCGAAATGTTAGCGCTAATTATTTGGAATTAGTTCAACTCTTGTTTTCACAATATGTTTTGGGCGTCATACTTCAAAACGAAATGCATACACCAATGAGGTAGATTTGTAGTTTACGGTTATTCATCCACTGAAGTGAAAATTAACCGTGTAGAACTTTCCAGTCTCGGTTGCCATAACTAAGAGTGTGTTAAACGGTATAGTTAAATGTGTATGTAGGTAGCTCACTGGAACTTTCTTATTAACAGTATACTGACTGTTAATATATGTGTAAAACTTGGGCACTGTGGTAGTAAGTAATTCCATATTAGTTTGTTTATTAGATATATCACACAATGAAACAGTATCCAGTAAATGTGGAAGTATACTCACTGCTCCCCGATATCATCCAGGATGTTGTGACTAAATGATGGAACTTGGGCGGACAAAATCTCCTGGTCCCCTTATTCGTAGTTACATATTGTTATTTTTTCTCTGGGTTTTTTCAGTAACCCAAGACTTTTTGGGTGTGTATGCATAGTTAAGGCCATACGCGATTGTAGTTTGAACTGAGAATTTCCTTTCTGAGGTGCTTTCTCTTGAAAGCTATCCCAATAATCTTTGTACATGTGTAGTTTGGCGTCATTAGTAAAAGATTAGACAGCACATCACGATGCGATGTTGTTGACCGATAAGATGTATTATGTGAATGAAATCACATGATATAGCCATCACTGAGTTCATAATGTTAGTCAGTCATCAGCGTTGCATCATCAAAGGAGGTATTAGGCAGTGTACTTAAATTTGACTTCTATTCAGCCATCGGTAGGATTACAACTTAGACCGTTGTCGAAACTCTATTGATTCTCTTCACTCATTTTCCTGTCTACCTTTGTGTGCTATTTGGAACGTGGCAACTCGAACTGCTGCACTTCGGTGCCACGTTCTATGTTGAATCCAGACAGACAGACAGAGAGTATTGATACGGAATTAGTTTAACAGGCTAAGAATAGCTGTAATTATTTGACACTAGAAACTCGGGAAGTAATTGTATATTTGATGATGGTGATAGGAATTGTAGATGTGTATTAATCGATCGTACTGTGGCGAATTGTATTGAGGTTTTATTGGACATATATGTGTATATTATTTTATGAGATGCCTAAGGGAAGAATGTCAACAACGAAAAGAGTTCGGGAGTGATGCAGTGCCGTTTTTGTGAACTACATCGTGACCTGTGCTGTCAACGAGAATCTCTGGAATGTCAGGCTCTCCGATTTGAGAAGAATATCAAACAGCGTTGATTTAATTGCAACTTCCATTTGCACTTCAACACAATTTATTTGACCTATTAACTCACCAAAAAGCAACTATGCTTTAAGCCAGAAACTGCCTGTCAAGTTCTATTCTTCAATTTTATCATTGTGGTATTAGGCATGAAAGGTGAATATACTAACTGTAAAAGAGTGTCACATGCCTAAAAACACTGCGATTATTCTGATAATGATTGCTAAGAATTGATAGTTGTATACCTGAAAACCTCAAGTCGAAAGAGTGAATGACTGATAGATGGTGAAATAATTTAACTAACTTTCAACGGTAACAGGTTTCACATTCGGACGATCTGCTGGATGCATTAGTCAGATTAGCTCGGCGTTTACTGTAGAACGATATACACTAAGCGAACTCATGAACGGAAACTACTTTTAAAGTACCTTAATTTGGAATCTGACTGTAACAATAGGAATCACACTTTCTTCTGAAAGCATGCACCTAAGTAAGTACTCACATGTATGCGTATTGTCTAACCTAGTTCTTTTGTTTTCTTCCCATTTTCTTGTTACTAGATACTCAACGTGAACCTGATAAATGCAAAAACTTACATCGCAGTGATATTTGCAGGGCAGATGCCGAGCTAACAAAACTTGGAAGACTAATAAACCAGACAAGACAGCAAGTGTTTGGAGCTACAGAAAGTCGGGCTATAGGAAAGAATACGAAAAGTGTTCTTTTCAAAAAGGAATACGACGAATTTGATGTTGATCTAAAATCCCTAATCTGCTCATAATTGAATACTATGGGAGCGAGTTGAACTGTCTTGTTACTCACTAGCTGCTGCTTATTCTGTCGATTATTTCAGATTGTATACGGGTCATGAATTTGGTTAAAAGTCTGAAGAAAAGCCCAGATTGTATATAAACTTTTTATTGCTTTTAAATAACAGGTACAAAATAAAGAAGTAAATACACATTCTATGTTTTGTTGTCACGGGATTTAATTTTGAACGCTCGTAGTGTGGATAGAAATAAAGCGAAGCCGATTGGAACAAATAAGGGTGTATAGATCCCGTACTTTTGGTCATCCTGCAAAAGCATACAATAAATTAGAACTATCAGATTCATGAGACACATTAGGTTAAATTAGTTCTTAGATTGGGATAAATTTAGCTCAGATTACACGAATTCTTAAGACTAGTCATCCTGGAAATAAAGTATCCACTACTGTTTTAGTCAAATAGAACGACGTCTCTACCTGAAGAAGATGGCTGCAACGGTGGTTCAGTGTCAGTTACTGTGAGTTTAATGTGAGCAGTACGGCATGCTCTCAATTAATATCGCGTTTAAGTGTTGGTTCGCAGGGAATTGATATGATTGGCTACAGGATTTCATCATGAGCTGACATTGGTTACAGGACCATTGGAAAAGCTGGTCAGCTGTCTGGGTGTAGTTTGGGACTTTTCGGCGGCACACACTCGCTGGGGTTCGAACCTAGGGTCTTGTGGTTGCGAGGTGAGTTCGTAGACCAATAGTTCGCTATGACACGATCCACTCGCCCATCAATTCCAACTTCTACTAATTCACGACATAGCGCGACCACTAGCCAATGTCATGAGCGAGTGTCTTTCCATACACTAGACATGCTGTCACTTCATTCTTTACACAGACAGACTGCTCTATAGATGTGCCAATCAAATCTGTATGTTGAAGTAACAATCAGAAATATACATAAGGGGCACTACTTACCTCGAAGTGAAAAAGACCAAGAAGACTGTGATCAAAGAATGCCCCATTCGATGAACTTTAGGCACTATGTGTATGCAAGAATGTAGTTCCAAGAGAAGATATGGTTGTATTGCAGGATATTGTTGATCGGTCTACTTCCTTAGGTTCTTTTAGACTATCAAGTGTGAGTGACCAGTTTGAATATGCACGATTAACTTCGCTGACAACGTCGTCTCTTATAATCATGTTTGGAAGACGTTGTAGTGGATTAACCCACGATCCAATTGTCCGTTTTGTCTCAGTAATGCATTCAACAGTCCTTCGGAGAAACCAGAAACTGAGCTAATGAAAAAAAGTATCACTTATACTGTCTACTAGTAATTATTATTTGAGCAATTTCTCTTACAGATTGATAAGCGTCTCAGATCAATAGGCGTCACTGGTTCGAGGAGAACTGTCTATCTCGAAAAATAAGTCAATATCGAAAACAATTAGTGAAAATATTGAGAAGAGTCTTCAAAAACAAAACTGTCTGGTTTAATAATCCAAGTGGTTTCAGAGACTTTAACAGTTCGTATATATAAATAATTATGAGTTTAGGAAATGTGAAGATGCATGTTACATTCATGAGGAGTGACACGCAAATGTCTTGAGTCGTTCAAAGCTAATAACTTCGAAAACAAACCCACTAGCTGAACTGTGCACTTGCATTTGAACGAAAACGAGATGCGGAACAATCAATACACAAATGTTCTCACAATCACCAGAAATCATACGTTACGTGGCTATTAATGGTCACGTTTAGCACTCATAGTTACATAGATGGTGACGGGGTTCGACTAAGACACTTGGAAGGCCTTAAGGATAAACCATTCCATTGGTGTACGTAGGGTCCGAAAGAAATGAAGAGTACATGAACATGGTCTGGTCAGTGGCAGTTATGAGGGTTCAGTACAGCACCAGAAGTTGGTTTTCAGCCTTGAAAATTGGACTTTAAGTTGAATATCTGCAGCGGTGTCTCAATCCTCTGGAAAGGTGCGATTTCGCATGGCACAGTTCTCCAATCTTATTCTATGCCAAGTGTGCGTCCAGCCGAATAATTAATTGATGATAGTCAGTGGTTTGAGTGAAATAAAGGAGCCACGTTTATTATTTTCGAAATAATAAACCACACAAGTAAACTGTATTTAGTAGATATCAGGAATAAGATCTGCTCTGATGTTATTTAGCTCACGGATGTGTGAGATTGTCAGGGGTTTCTGCCCCTCCTAGTCTGATAAACTTGTCGGATGACGAGAGAAAAGAAACGAACACTTTATTCAAATTTTTCGGGGATGGGAAGCCACTATCCCTAACAATTCATAAAGGATAATATTAAGGAGAAGTCGGTATTAAGAAATCAAATGTTCAACAGGAATTGAAGATGAAAGGATAATTATAGAAGCGCTGCAATGCATCCATAAAAGGGAGATACTTGTGAGGCGATTGCAAGGAAAAGGCAGGATTTCGAATCATATACAGCCCTGTATTTCTGTGCTTTGAAGTTTCACTAGTAATCGGGCTGCTTATTGTAGTTAAAACGTACACGTCATTCTCAATCATTGTGAATGAACACAGACGATGAAGTAAAGATCAATGTGCACACGAAGTACAGGAATACTGATGGTCATATCAAATTTGATCAATAGCTGCTCATATGAGGAATGGAAAACATAATATGGATTGGAAGAATATCTGCATGTGATTACTACTCGCAAACGTGCAACCAAGCGGGGGCAATCTTACTCTAAATATCAATAAAAATCGCCTGTACACACCCACTGCAAATACACTGATTATTATTCCCTTGGGTTCCGAGTGCAACATAAAGCTTCAACAACACATCTCCATTTTGTCCTGTTTTCTGCAATCCTCTTAAGCTGGTACCACGATTCACTAAAGGCTCTCATTTCTTCTCCACACGATCAACCCCAAGTCAACCAGAGTTCCTTGTTTCTAACTCGTTCTGTCCATCTGATCTTCAGTAAGGAACCAGCCAAGTCATTTATTGATATGAGTCTGGAGTCTGTTGGAAATGATTTTCGTGTCGCTCCAAGTTTCTGACCCATATAAGAGAATCGACTTAACAATGGTGTGGGAAACTCATATTTTTCCCTCATGTTCAGTGCAGAAGATTTCCAAACCAATTTCAGAGTGATGAAGGTCTGCCTTGCCTTTCCGATTCTGGTTTCGACACCCTCATCTCTTCCGCCTACCTGTAGTTGAATCGATGCTTCCTGGATACGTGAACATAGTGGCCGCCTTCGAATTTCTTCCGTTAATAGTGACTCGTGCTTGTTGTTGTTGTTGTTCATGGTTGGTTATCTTCATTACCTCTGTCTTCTTTGTATTCTCTTGAAGTCCTGTCTATGGTCGTTCTTCTACCTACTTGTTGGTTTTCGCCTGTAAGTCTCTGAATTCATGTGAATTCACTAGACACAAATCGTCCGCGATGTCCAGATCTTCTAGAGTCTTCTTATCTGCCTTTTCGCTCCCCACGCACAGTATGATCCCGCATGATCCAGTCCACCACAATCACGCATATCATCAGTGAGAGTAGTCAGATTAGTCTTACTCCTGTATTCACATCAAAGGCTTCGATGAGTTTTCCGTTGTGGATCGCTTGACATTTCCCAGTGTCATATAGCAGTTGAACTAGTTTGATTAAGATTTGGTCCACTTCATAGTCTTGTAGTGGTTTCCGAATTACTTCACGGTCAACAATGTTTAGGTCCTTTCAATCATAAACTATACATATTACGTCATTCATAAGGAAGTAAGATGAACAATGAGACTTCATTTAACAGTATACAGAGTGTGGCTAGGCCATAAACATAAAGCGTGAGTGGTTTGATTTAACCCAGTTTTCCATCCCACAGTTCTAAACCCAGATAAGACAGAATGTTGGGCGTGGCACTAGCAAACACACCCAGCAGGAGATACTCTCACCCGCATCTCTACGGGGACTACAGAGCACGAAAAATATAGCACTTATTCTGATGTACCTAACTAACCCAGCAACACGTCTCATACTGGTCAACTGAAGAACTCACCTTTTCTTCAATAGTTCAGCATTATCTGCATAAAGTCTCTGTGAGTGGAAATCTACTTTGATACAGGGCATCCATGATTTGAAAGCTGAGCCTACATTTGCTTTCAACCAAGGGATTGGATTTGTCAACATCTTGTCAATGCAAGCTGATAATTCATTGAATTTAGACTTCGCTGGCAACTGATGCTCACCGAATGTCAGTATCATGACAGTGAGATTGTACACAGTAGACACAGATAACGCTTCATTTATTATCTTAGAGCTATTTTCGGTCGTTTGTGTAGGCGGAAAACTTCGAAGACTATCATGTTTCCGTGCAAGCCTCTAAATGTAAAAAAGAAAAACAACAATATCGAAGAGATAACAATCAGAATGATATTCTGGCAGTAATCTAGGACAGTAAAGTGGAAACTCATTTACCTAGGGGAACTTCGTTCCTCGCAACAAAAACTAACTCCTACAGTTCCGAATTAATTAGTACATTTCATCGAAAAAAGAAATTTACACTAGAGCTAATGCTGAGTATGTTCCTTCCTGATTTCTGAAAAGTGATTGGTTTTTTTAAATATCGTCATAATGCTTAGAAAAACCTCGCCCAGATTACTAGATCACTAGTTTTCTAGCCGGTCCCAAGCCCGGATAAAGAGGGAGGGCTGGGGCGTGGTGCTACCAACTCCACTCCTAAACTTAAACAAATTGCTACTAAAACTTCAACGCACAAATATATCAAATATTCTAAAAATATAAACAATAACCTTATTTTTCGCTGGAATCGGGGAAGTGAAATGACTCAGGCTGGTAAAAGCCTTCGGGAAGCCAGTCAGCCGATCTGCCTTCTTTCGATGAAAGCAAAAATAAGGATGGAGACGTGGAATATTCGTACAATGTACGAAACTAGAAAGGCTGCCCAGGTAGCCGCAGAAAAGAGGAGATATAAAATAGAAGTGTTGGGAATCTGTGAGAGCAGATGGAACGGATGTGGAAGGAGCCAACTACCAACTGGAGAGACAATAATCTACTCCGGTCACCCAGAGGACAATCACGAGCACACCGAGGGAGTAGCCATCATGATGTCACCAACAGCAGCCAAAGCTCTGATGCAGAGGGAACCAATCTCCTCCAGTATAATGACAGCCAGGTTCAACTCAAAAGGAAGGAAGGCAGGTTACAATCATTCAATGCTATGCGCCTACAAACGTCTCAGAAC